GGTTATACATTATTTAAATCGAATAAACGGATCAAGTGATCTTTCACCTGCCTTCATTAATTTCGAAAAATCTAAAATTTTCTAAACCCAAATTTGAGCTGAAGGTTGAAATTTTCTGTGTGGAATTGTTGCAAATTTGGAGACGTTGCAGTGACTTTCAAAAGAGAAATCATGAAAAAACCGTTTGTTCATAAATTTCTGGCCACTACTGTACAAGTCAGTGTTTTTATCCTCCCAGACAAGTCTGGTACCAATTAACCGACCCCGGAGGGATGGAAGGCTTGGTTGGCCCGGGCGACTCACGACCCAGGATTTGATCCCCGGACCGCTCGCGTGGTGAGCGCGCCACTTGTCACTACACCACTTCCGCCCAACAATCATACATATTGGTGGTCAAATAAGATAATTATGAACAGGTCAACACAACAAAACCAAAATGAGCGCAGCAGTAAACAGCATCTTTGAATAGTGGTTCAAATAGTGCGCGAAGTGCTGTCTCCGTAATTTTGGCGCACCCTGTATGCTGACGGTTCACTTCGAGTAATTCGGTCAAGCTCTTCTCATCGTTCTCTGCCATTGAACTTATCAAATGAGAGATAAGCTAGGTGAATACGTTTAATGTGAACGAAGCTCATGCTTCATGGTTATTATAAACAGTGTTAATGGCTGAGCCCATATGGTTACGTGTGCATGCACAAATTAATTAATGTACATATTTCAGATTTGGACAGCGGAGGTAAATATCGTCCGATCCTATGAGCAACAAAAAACTAATTGTTTAACTTCAGCCAGGAAGTTTCACGAGGAGGACTTGCAAATGGGTGAGCCGAGCATATGTACAGGTTCTCTTCACGTAGTTGTCCTTTACGAGATGAATGATGCGCAAGCGAAACCTGGTTCTGAAGCATTCACGTTGAACACGCTTTCACTTTTCTTCATTTCTAGAATTTGGCCCCTTTAAGATAACTGCTTTTAGAAAGAATGGGTAGGCTATCCGCCTGTCCTGCAAGGTGTGGACTTGAAGAATCGCTTACAGAAAATTCTTGCATTCTTCCTCTTCATGAATTCATCAGCTGTGATCGTTGAGAAAACATACAATCTTCTACGCAAACACACTTCGTTTACGAAGAGAAACAAACCTAGGAAAACCACGCTTTAAGAACGGTCGCGAGATCATCTATGTAAACAAGGGGTCGCTCGAGCAAGAGCCTTCGGGGTAGCCCCTTATCAGGTGACGCGTTGAAGGAATCGGGTCAAAGCGTTCATATTTGGAAAACGGAACAAAACTATCGAGAGAATAAGATGCATCAGAAAAGAGAAATTTATCATTGTGGGTGTAAACGGTCAAGAGTTCCTAGTAAGAGCAGTCCGAGTACCCAAGTGGGATCATTCCCGTCGCCGACACTTAGTGACAGATGTGGGCGCGAGATTCAATGCGCAACAGTCCTCCCTGATTTGAACGGTATAACTTTTTCCTATGAAATACCTATGAGGTATGAGGTATGAACTAGGTCCTATGAGGTATGTGAGTTTTCACGTTGCCGGGGTATAGGAAACGGCAGACGATGGCAGGAAGAAACTTCCTGTGAAAGTGGCGTTGAGCGAAACGGTCAAATAAAATCAGTCATAAACCTTCAATTGATAAAATTATATAGCAGTATTATATGCTGACGGTTCACCTCGAGTAATTCGGTCGAGCTCTTCTCGTCGTTGTCTGCCATGAACTTATCAAATGAGATATCAGCTAGGTGAATACATTTAATGTGAACGAAGCTCAAGCTCCATGGTTATTATAAACAGTGTTAAATAATGCGATGAACACCCCCGCCGCATCATCGACTCGCTGAAGAAACAATTTGAGGGCTCTATCAAGATTGATGGCAGCTCCTTCTAAGCTTCATTGCACTTATAAATGTCATAATTTGAGGTTTTGAAAAATTAGTCGCTTTCAAATTTTCGTGGACAAGAAAAAAATTAGGATGGGATTTATGGCACACGTAATTTTTCGCCACCCTGTACTTCTCACTTGTTGTCACACAGTTTGCTGGAATCTACAGCTCTAAGCACACACGAGGGCTCGAGTGTGCTATGGGAGCACGGCACAGTAGTGTCACTCGCAATAATAACCCAGTCTTTGCAAGAGAAGGAAGCCAGAGGTGTGAACCGTCTTGCTTGTGTAAGGAGAAAACTCAGGATATATCGAAATGAGACTACTGCCGTGCCAGCTCTATGTAGACAAGTGAAAAATATCAGTCTAGCACAAGTAAATGGCCAGTAAAATACATATATTGACGGCGGAGCAATTGAGATACCTTTGCTTAGCATCGATTTTGTTTCAGGTATGGACAAGAAAGGTAAACTTTGCTAATCTACGAATAACTAACTTGCCTGACTCTTAATTGAGTGCAGCCGGAGTATGCAGTCGTAGTGACGACGAAGAGAACTCCAAAGGTGAGCGGCATTGAAATCATACATTGTTTTTTGAGCTTCTATACAAATGTCTTATTGTTTGAAACAAAATGAATTCAGCCGCAGATCGAGGGCGTGGCTACGACAAGGAGAGCTTCTCCAGAGGTGAGCTCCATTGAAGTTATTCATTGCTCTCCTGAGCTATTTACAAATAACTCATTATCATTGTCTAACTCGTGATTGAGCACAGTCGGAGTATGCCACTATGGTGACGACGAAGAGAACTCCAAGAGTGAGCGGCATTGAAGTTATACATTGTATTTTGAGCTTTTATACAAATGGCTTATTGTTTAAAAACGAAATGAATTCAGCCGCAGATCGAAAGCGTGGATACGACAAGGAGAGCTCCTTCGGAGGTGAGCGCCATTGAAGTCATCTGTGGTTTAACTATCACAGCGCTTTGAAGTTAGTTATATCACGACTGTGAAGCGTGTGGCGTATAATATCCATTGTAGGCTGCAGAAAAATGTAGTTTATTAACAGGAAAAAAACTTAAGGTATCTAAATATCACATCAAAGCAAGAGCTCAATATGCACACAATAAAAAGAGCTCTTGAAATGACAGAAAGGAAACACAGATTTTTCGTGTGCTGTCCCTACGATAACAAAAAACACGATTCATCTGCTTTTGGACTACACATAGTCTCATTTGAAGCACCGCTAGGGTCTCACCAAGTACACGCTTTAGTATTCCCTCCGAGTATTCCTTAATTTATCTAATTCACTTCGTTCTATATTTCGTACATCCTTATGACCAATATAAACCTACTCTGTGAATATGACAATGCTAATCCTCCCCCGTTTTTGTAAGCAATCTGCTTGAGCGCTCATTTGGTCTGCCAGCTCTTTCATAATTGCTTTCTATCATTGTGGAAGCAGAAAATGTATTTCCGTACACTATATAAACAGTTTCTAGGCTCGCGCTACGTCATCCTACAGCGAGGATCAGTATGAGGTCAGTGATTTGGTTTTTTCAATGCCCTTTACCCTTCATTCTATCGTGCGACGACCAGTGAAGGGCAAAGATTGATAATTATTAGGTTGTCTCATAAATAGTGTCGCTTTTTTTCAACCAAAAAATTTTCATCTAAATCCCATGCTTTTACATCGAGTCATATACCATTCGAAAGAGAATTGTCTGCTCTACAAAATGCTATGTTCTCTTCCACCTCTGTTCCAGGGTTTTCAAATTTCAGGGCGCAAAATGGGAGGTCTCGTCAACTTCACCCGACCAACAATTGACCAAACCGACAACTAGCTCTAACACCCTTAACTGTCTCTCCCCCTCTCGGAGAAACTCCAACTCACTCGATGTACCCTTCCCTCACTCTATTTCATACCCCCCCCCTTCTCGAATATTGCCCTAGCTCGAGGTTTCCCCAACCACTGTCGCCCGCTCGTCTCCTTCTTCCAGACCCCTGTATAGAGACCTCATTCTCCTTATGTCACCCCCGATATGTTTGTTATGAAAGCAAAAAAAGTGAACCACGATAAAATTGATAATAGTTCGATCTTCTCTATTATTTGTTTTGAGGTCGTCCTTAAAACCTCCCTCTGTAAAGTAAGAATAAAGTTATCTGATTTCTACCTCGGCTTCCCGGCACACTCCACACCTAGCGTTGAAACCGCGCCACACCCTCCGGTGCACTCGGCCGGACGTAGCAGATTCGACGGGAGTGCAGTAAGCTAAAAAGACCTCCACGACTACCACGAGCCGTAAGCCTCGACCAACTTTCACTTGAACGTCCTTCCTTTCCAGCCTCGCCCACACGCGCTCCTTTGACCTCGATCCCATCATCCGCCCTTCCTCCGGTCCACCCCCCCCCCTCCGTACTCACGAAGCACTACCCTCTCCTTCGGCACCACTCAGCACCCATACGCAGCAAACTGAGGAAGTGAACCGCATCCGCGCCCCCCTAGAAGAATCAGACGCAGCACATCTGTCACGCCACATCCGACAGCTGAACTTAGGTCACCTTGACAAGGTCTCCTTGGAGAAATATCCCAAACCCGACAGCTCCTGGACCGCAGAACTTACTTCAGTTCTCGGAAACTCTTCGCCAACCAGGATTCGACCACCCAACCCATCCCGAACAGCGCAACAGAACTGCTGCACTCCACACCGCCGCACACCACACGCCTACACCGCCCCAACTCTCACAGTACTTCAGCGAGGAACGGAACCTCTTGAAGTACCTTCAGTTTCGGGATCACCCCAAATCTCAGAGGTAAAACTTGCACCAGTTCCCGTTCCCAAGTTCAGCGGTGAGATTTGGGAATGGGAAACTTTCTGGAAAACGTTCGAACACACGATTCATTCGAAGAACATCGACAACATTTACAAACTCAACTATCTCATGGACGCTCTTCAAGGAGCAGCTAAGCAATCAGTGGAGCAATTTCAAGTTTCAAGCGAAACATATCCTCTAGTCGTAGCTCATCTAAAGAAAAAGTACGGAGACACCCAAGCCCTAGTAGATCGACTGTTGAATAAAACTTCAATCAGCGAAAGCCAACAGCGATAGTCTAGAAGACCAAGAAACCCTTTGCGAGCAACTCCTCTCCATTACATCACAACTTGATCTTCACGGGGAGCATATCGACAATACGTTTCTACAAAGAGAGCTGCTTGGGAAATTCTCTCCTCATAGACGGCCACCACCTCGACCCCACGCCCATCCCTCCTCCGGCCCCCCCAAGACACACCCACAAGCTGCCAACAACGACACGAACCCCACCCCTAGAGCCACTACTGCCCTTTTACGCACTTGCAAAGCAATGTGCCGAAGCCGACCCACTCGCAGACATAATCAGACAGGTGAACCACAGGCTCCATAGTCTCCTAACAACAAGAGGAAGCGGGATACGAGTGGGATGGAGGAAAGAAAGTTTCCACTCAGCAGAAACTTCGCAAAAAATCAACTAGCACCCTGCTTTTATTGCGGAAAAACAGGGCATCCAGCGAAGAACTGCACTGAGATACCATCACTGGACCAACGCGCCCTGCCCACCCATCATCACAAGGCTCAACCAAGCTCTGCCCATAATTGCCCCGCACAAAAGGTCACCCCCCCCACTGTTCAGCAAAGTGCCCAAAGGAGCTTGTCGACATCCCGTCGGCAACACTCACTCCCCCCCCCCGCCTCCACACCCCCCCCCCACCACCACACTTCAATCTGCAAGACCTTTTCTTCGCAGAACAATCTTCATACGTTTCAAAACCCGAGAAAACAAACAGAAAAATCTACAGAGCTAATAAAAATCGACAAACGTAAATACAGCGGGTTTCGCCAAAGATACAAATTCAAAGCAAGAAACGGTACCCGACCCACCTCCCGCACCGCCACCCCAACGACCCCACATGCCTCTCACCCTGCTTCTGACAGGACAAGCGAAAGTACTCAACCCTACCACGGGAGCACTTGAATCGATTCCATATCATGCTTGATACAGGAGCAGATCGCTCATTCATCAGTTGACGAGCTTGCAGATCGGCTCCAACTAACGAACGTCGATACTCACACGCCGACATCCCACCCAATCACACTACGTTCGCATCACAACACCCGCCCCCGACCAAAGGACCTGTAGAAAACACCAGGTCGTCTACGATTGTCCCCCCCCCCCCCCCCCCCCCCCCCCCCCCCCCCCCCCCCCCCCCCCCCCCCCCCCCCCCCCCCCCCCCCCCCCCCCCCCCCCCCCCCCCCCCCCCCCCCCCCCCCCCCCCCCCCCCCCCCCCCCCCCCCCCCCCCCCCCCCCCCCCCCCCCCCCCCCCCCCCCCCCCCCCCCCCCCCCCCCCCACACCCCCCCACACCCACACCCACACACCACCACACACACACACACACACCACACTCCCCCCACCACACACCGCTCACACACAACCCCACAACAGTTCCTCCCTCACGCAAGATCCAGCCACTTCTCTACTCAACTCTCTCTCACCAACCCTGCCCACCACCACACGCCCCCAATACGCCCCCGCGCACTCTCACACTGCATCCCTTCACCACACTAGCCGGCTACCTTCACTCACCCTCCCGGGAACTACGAACCGTAAACCCTCACCACCCACAGCACATCCGTCTATCGAAAAACCCACCCCCCCCCCCCCCCCCGCTCCTCAACCCCCCCCCCCCCCCACAATCATCCCCCAAAGTACCACTACACCCCACGCTCACACTCACGCCACAACCAACCACAACTCGCCCACACCCATCCCACCTACCCTCGAATGTCAACTACCCAAACCGCAACCACACACCTACACCCAACAAAGCGTTCACCAGCTCCTCCAACCACACACCACACACTCCTCCCCGAACCCACCCCCCCACCCCCCCCCCCCCCCCCCCCCCCCCCCCCCCCCCCCCCCCCCCCCCCCCCCCCCCCCCCCCCCCCCCCCCCCCCCCCCCCCCCCCCCCCCCCCCCCCCCCCCCCCCCCCCCCCCCCCCCCCCCCCCCCCCCCCCCCCCCCCCCCCCCCCCCCCCCCCCCCCCCCCCCCCCCCCCCACCCCCCCCCCCCACCACCCCCCACCCCCCCACACCCCCCCCCCCCCACCCCCCCCCCCCCCCCCCACCCCCCCACCACCCCCACCACCTCCCCCCCACCAACACAACCAACGACTCCACGTCCACCACCAAGCACAACACAACAAAGAGATGAGGAAAAAGCCTATGATCAAATGATTCACAAAACGAAGAACCAGGCGGACTCTATCCCGACGACATCTACAGAACAATCCTGGGAACAATTTTTTGAATTTGAGAGAACAGGATCTCAAGAGTTTACCGGACCCGCATCGCAAGAACGAAAGCTTGCAAATGACGCAATCTGGAAAGCATTTGAGGAAAGTATCGAGAAAAAGGCTGACGGATACTATGTACGTCTTCCATGGAAACCCAACTCCAAGCATTTACCAGACAACAAACAACTCGCCTACCGACGGTTGAAAGCAAATTTGATCCACCTCGCCAAAAATGAAACCATACTCCATCAGTATCACAACACAATCATGGACCAGTTGGAGCGAGGAATCATTGAAGAAGTTCGTGATGAACAAACATCTGAAGGGGAAATTGTGCACTATCTAGCTCCATCATGCAGTAATCACTCCCCAAAAAGAAACTACAAAGCTAAGAATCGTCTTTGATGCATCAGCACACCTGAAAAATTGTCCATCACTCAACGATGTCCTCAACCAAGGTCCAGTTATACTACCCAAAATATGTGACATTCTGCTCCGCTTTAGAATCGGAGATACAGCGATCATCAGTGACATAGAGAAAGCCTTCTTACAAGTCCGATTACATCCATCAGACCGAAATGCGACAAGAGATATGTGGATCCGAAACATTCGAAAACCACTCA